AAGGATCCAGGGCTCCATGGAGGTCAAGGTCAGGCCAACGCTGCTTTACCAGCTGCCTACAACCCACGGCTTTATGTTTAAAGACTCAGCTAATTACAGACCTTTTCCAGCATGAAAGAACAGATAGCATTGCAGAAAATTTAGGGGAAAGGAAACCAACAGAGAAGTTAAAAAAAAAAAAAAAGACCATCTTCTGATACCTTTATTCCGTTTCAAAATACATTTTATTATAAATGTATTTTCCTTTTGAAAGCAAACTGGAAGGAGGAGTGTTCTGTTTTTACTTTAAACATTTCTTATTTGAGTGTGTTAAGTAATATCTGCCTTTTTTACATGTTAAGTAATGCATGTTGATATAAAAATTTGGTAAATATATAAGACAGAAACAAGAAAAAGGTATTATGTTTTATCTAAATATCTTTATGTTTTAGAAATTTTGCTTTTGTGACACAAAGAAAGTGCTCAGGGGAAAAAAAGTCTGTCTTTGAAAGTAAACACACACGGCTGGACACAGTTGCTCACGCCTGTAATACCAGCACTTTGTGAGGCTGAGGTGGACAGATTGCTTGAGCTCAGGAGTTCGAGACCAGCATGGGCAACATGGTGAAATCCCATCTTTACTAAAAAAACAAAAATTAGCTTGGTGTGATGACACGTGCCTGTAATCCCAGCTACTCTGGAGCTGAGGCAGGAGAATTGCTTGACCATGGGAGGTGGAGGTTGCAGTGAGCCAAGATTGCACCACTGCACTCCCGCCTGGACAACAGAGTGAGACTCCATCTAAAAAAAAAAAAAGAAAATAAGAAAATAAAAGAAAGAAAGTATATATACACTACCACATAGAAAAGATGCAGAGATGGGTCGATGGGTATATCTGTTTCCTTCCCTTTCTCTCCTGTCTAGTCACCCAGTTGCCCTTCCTGGGGCAACAATTATTGCTGTTTTTCAGTCATTTTGGTAGAGAGTATCTTTACATTTGCAAATGTATATGCATATACACTTTTTGGTAGGGAGAGACAGGATCCTGTTGTATCACCCAGGCTGGAGTGCAGTGGCATGATCATGGCACTGTAGCCCAGACTTCCTGGGTTCCAGTCATCCTCCTGCCTCTTCCCTGCAAGTACCTAGGACTACAGGTATGCACCACCACACTCTGCTGATTTTTGATTTTTTTTTTTTTTTTTTTTTTGTAGAGTCAGGGTCTTGCTATGTAGCCCAGGCAAGTTTAGAACTCCTGGCCTCAAGTAATCATCTTTCCTTGGCCTCCCAAAGTATTAGGATTACAGGTGTGAGGTACCAAGCCTGGCCTTCATGCACTTTTTAGTAATTATGTCTGTATGTGTAGGAGCATGTGTGTGTGTATGTGTTTGTGTGTATAATTATACTAATTGTCACACTCTATCCTAAATCTTGCTTTTTATGCAATATATCTTAGGGACCTTCCCACAGGATATGTAAAGAGTTCTGTTGGTTGCTGACCTCAATCCTGTTAACCTAAAAGGTCCTTCTTGGTGTCTAACCAGAAACCCATACAACCGCCAGTCTGACACTAGCAAGACGAAGTAATGAGAGAGTTGAGGAAGTTCGGGATGGGCTCAAGGACTCACTTTTATCCTTTCCTTCCCTCCCTCCCTCCTTTCATCCCTCCCTCCCTCCCTCCCTTCCTTCCTTTGTCTTTTCTTCCTCCCATCCATCTTGCTTCTTGCCTTCTAAAATGGAAACAATTCACTATGGTTTTTACTCACTCTTATTATGAATGCAAAACGTGCTTCTTGTAAAGTATTAAGATAGTATAAAAAGAAAAAAAGGAGAGTGAAAGTCACTCCTACTGTTACCCAGGAATAATCACTGTTGACATTTTGTTGTTCACCCTTCCAGTTATTTTTCTGGAATGCCTACAACTACTTTTCACCATTTTAACCATTTTCAAGTGCACAGTTCAGTGGCATTTGGTGCATTCTCAATGTGAACAACGAACACCACTATATAATTTCAGAATAATTTCATCACCCCAGAAGGAAATCCCATATCCACTGAAGAGTCACTCTCCATTCCCCTCTCCCACCAGCCCCTGGCAACCACAAATCTGCTTTCTAGCTCCATGGATCTGCGTATGCTGGGTGTTTCACACGAACAGAACCATACAATATGTGATCTTTTATGTCTCACTTCTTTCACTTAGCATACGTTTTTTTGTTTTGCTTTGTTTTTTTATGGAGACGGAGTCTTGCTTTGTTGCCCAGGCTGGAGTGCCATGGCGTGATCTCGGCTCACTACAACCTCTGCCTCCTGGTTCAAGTGATTGTCCCACCTCAGCCTCCTGAGTAGCTGGGATTACAGGCATGCACCACTATGCCAGACTAGTTTTTGCCTTTTTAGTAAAGAGGGGGTTTCACCGTGTTGGCAAGGCTGGTCTTCAACTCCTGACCTCAGGCGATCTACCCACCTCAGCCTCCCAAAGTGCTGGGATTACAGGCATGAGCCACCATGCCTGGCAGGAATAATGTTTTCAGGGTTTTCTTTTCTTTCTTTTTTTTTTTTACAGACAGGGGTCTCTCTCTGTCACTACTCAGGCTGGAGTGCAGTGAAATGATCATAGCTCACTGCACTTTTGACCTCTTTGGCTTAAGTGATCCTCCCACCTCAGCCTCCAAAATAGCTGGGACTACAAGTGCATGCCGAACTAATTAAAAAAAAAAATTGTAAAGACAGAGCCTCACTATGTTGTCGAGGTTTGTCTTAAACTCTTGGCCTCAGGTGATTCAGCCTCCCAAAGTGGAATTATAGGTGTGAGCCACTGGGCCCATCTGTTTTCAAGGTTCATCCATGCTGTAGCATGCATCAGTACTTCCTTCCTTTTCATAGCCAAATAATACTCCATTGCATGGATATACCATATTTTGTTTATCTATTCATCAGTTGAGGGACATTTGGGTTATTTCCACCTTTTGTCTATTGTGAATAGTGCTGCTATGAACCGGTATGTGTAAGTTTTTATTTGAATACCTGTTTTCAATTCTTTTGACTATGTATTTAGGAGTGAGATCAAATGATCTTTCTATCTTTAACTTATTGAAGAAATACCAAACTGATTCCCACAGTGGCTACATCATTTCACATTTCCACCAGCAATGTACGAGGGTTCCAATTTCTCTTCCATTTTCTCATTCATACCAAAACTTGTCATTTTCCTTTTGTTTTTTGTTTTGTTTTATTATAACCAATCTAGTGGGTATGAAATGCTATCTCATACCTACATTTTTGTGGTTTTGAATTGCATTTCCCTAATGACTGGTGATGTTAAACATCTTTTCACGTGCTTGTTGACCATTTGTACACCGTCTTTGGAGAGATATCTATTAAGGCCTTTGCACTTTTTTTATTTTCACTCAGAGTGTACATGTGCAGGTTTCTTACATGGGTATTTTGTATGATGCTGAAGTTTGGGTTTCTATTGATCCCATCAACCATGTAGTAAACACAATACTCAAAAGGTAGTTTTTTATCCTTTGCCCTTCCACCCCTCCTTCCTGCTTTTGGAGCCCTCCGTGTCTATTGTTCCCATCTTTGTCTCTGTGTGTAATCCATGCTTAGCTCCCGCTTATAAGTAAGAACATGAGGCATTTGGTTTTCTGTTTCTGTATTAATTTACTTAGGATAATGGCCTTCAGCTGCCTTCATGTTGCTGCAAAGGACATGATTTTGTTCTTTTTTATGGCTTTATGGCTTTGCCCTTTTTTTTTTTAGACGAGGTCTTGCTCTGTTGTCCAGGCTGGAGTGCAGTGGTGCCACCTCGGCTCACTGCAACCTCCATCTCCCAGGTTCAAGCAATTATCCTGCCTCAGCCTCGAGTAGCTGGGATTACAGGCACCTGCCATTGTGCCCAGTTAATTTTTGTATTTTAAGTAGAGACGGGGTTTCACCATCCTGGCCAGGCTGATCTTGAACTCCTGACCTTGTGATCCACCCTCATCGGCCTCCCAAAGTGCTAGAATTACAGGTGTGAGCCACCATGCCCAGCCTTACCCATTTAAAAAATTAAGTTGTGTTTTTCTTGTTGAGTTGTACAAGTTCTTTCCATATTCTGGATACAAGATTCTTATCAGATAAATGATTTGCAAATATATTCTTCCATTCTGTGAGTTTCCTTTTGCTTTTTTGATAGAGTTCTTTCATGCACAAAAGTTTTTTATTTTGATGAAGTTCAATTTGTCTATTTTTTTATTTGTTTATTTTGTTTTTGGTCTAAGAAACTATTGCCAAACCCATGACTATAAAGTTGTTTTTTTCTTAGAGTTGTTTTTCTTTTCCATTTATTTGTTTTGTTTTATTGTATTTTAGGTTTTGGGGTACATGTGAAGAACATGCAGGATTGTTGCATAGGTACACACGTGGCAGCATGATTTGCTGCCTTCCTCCCCATCACCTACAACTGGCATCTCTCCCCTTGCTATCTCTCCCCAACTCCCCACCACCCACCGTCCCTCCCCTATTTCCCCCCACCTGATTTTTCTTAGAGTTTTGTAGCTTCAGCTCTTATATTTAGAATTTTGTTCATTTTGAGTTAATTTTTGTACATGGTATTTGGTAAGGTCCAATTTTATTCTTTTGCATGTGGATATTCAGTTGGTCTAGCACCATTTGTTGAAGAAACATTTCTTTCCCCCATTGAATGGTCTTGGCACCCTTGTTGAAAATCAATTGACCTTAGTTGCATAGGTTTATTTCTGAATTGCCGATTCTATCCCATTGATTTATATGTATGACTATCCTCATGCTGGCAGCACATGATTTTGATTACTGTAACTTCCTAGTAAGTTTTGAAATTGGCAAGATTGTTTTGACTATTTGGGATCCCCTGCAATTCCGTCTACATTTCAGGGTCAGCTTTTCCACTTCAGAAAAATGGAATTTGTGGGACTTGGAGATTTTGATAGGGACTGCATTGAATCTGCATATTGCGTTGGGGAATATTTTGTCTTAACAAAATCAAGTCTTCTAAGACTCTACTTTCAGGGCTCATTTCTATCGTTCAATACCAGAGAAGTTTCTCCGAACGTGTAGAGCACTGGAAACCAAAAGGAGGAGGCAAACATTCTTTCTTGAGCACGCAGCCGGCTCAGAGCGTGGTGTTGCTGCGGCTGCCACTTTCCGTTGACGGTCTTTCTTTCTTCCTTCAGGAGAGTAAGAAGGAGGGCCGGGCGCGGTGGCTCAAGCCTGTAATCCCAGCACTGTGGGAGGCCGAGGCGGGTGGAT